TATATTTATATTTTTTTAATAATATATATTATATTTATAATAAAAATAAAAATAATTTTTAATAACAAATTTTATATAATTATAGTGAAAATCCTTACATGACAATTTTCTCATGGTGCAAATTGGGGTTCATATATTTGATATATATAGTTCTAGAAACAACCCCCCCTAATCCATATCTTTTAGTATGCTTAGAAAACCGGTTAATATTATACTACACATGCGTGGGTATGAGCCAATAATCTTTGCTCATGTGGTCGCCAATAATGGGACTCAATTCCGGATTAGTATATATATGAACATAATCAACAAATAACAAACTAGAAGTCAAGGAAGATTTTCACTCTTCTTTGGAAATTTTTTAGTTATACCTTGTTTATGTTGTGTTATAGAGAATAAGCCAAATTAAAACATCATCAAATTATATTAAATGATTGTATAAATTCTTTAATTAGTCAATTATATGATATCTAAATTGATGATATTTTAATTATTAATTAATTAAATCATTATCTTTCTTTAGACATGTGTGAATGCTAGCTATTCCCCCAATCAAATATATATATCTGATCCCGAGAAACCCTTGGTTAGTTCACAATATCCGAGGTTGGGTGTTTTCTATATTGATGATAAACATTCCATATTTAAAAGTAGGATAAGTATGAGTTGATATTGTATATGTGGCAATTATTGGGTGTAAAACAGAGGGCCATATTTGAAGTAGAAGGAGCATAGGATTCTAAATTTTGCCTCCACATGTGAGTTGTCGCTTTACCAAGTGAATCCATTAGCTGATATCACAAAAAGCATTACGGAGAACCTTCCCACTATCAATACAAGCCAGAGGTGGGTGGGGTTCATTCCCAGAGATATATGCATATTTACTTCTATTTATGTTCATCATTTATATCATTAAAAAAAAATTGATTGCACTCAGTTTAATATAAATTAATTATAAGTTTTTTCTATTAAAAATAAAATGTATGTAAAAAAAATATCTAAATTTGTATTTAAATTAATAAACTCTTATTAATAAACTGAACTACGAGTGTTTAGTTCAAATGGTTTAATTAACATTGTATTTTGTTATAAATTAAAAAAAAAAATTGTGGTGAGTTCAATTTATATGAATCAAGAAATAATAAAATGTGATTAAACAGAAAAATATCTATTAAAATAAAATTAGGCTTCATTTTTTTTTATAAAAGAATTAGGCGTCATTTTTCAAATAAGATTCATTAACTTGTGTTAACCAAACTCAGATTAATTTTTTATACATTATAAAAGAAATACACAATCCATCAATTAAAAATCACCCCAAATATAATATTTAAAGTGATTATTACAATTCTCAAAAAGAAATGTAAATATTATAGAAAGTCGACAATTTTCAATTACATAACAGTTCATTGTTACATAATAGTGTAAAAAATATTTACATTAATCGAGTATTCTAAATATATTTTTCAATTAAAACATAAAAACTGTTGATTATATATAAATATCTGGTTAGCTCACCACAGTCCACAAGTTAAAATCATTGAACCGGATTTGCTTTAAGAAACTAAGAAATTATGTTCTTCTAATTACAAAATATCACATTATTTTCATTTTATTTTCTATTTTAAAAAGTATGTATGAGAACAGTTAACATAAATAATATCTTTATAATTGAAATACAAACAAAAATAAAATTAAACAAACGACCCAAAACAAAAATCATATACATGAGTCTAAATTATATTAAACAATTGAAATTAAGAATGAGTTTTACTAAACTTAAAAAGCATAGAAAGACCGTAAAGGTGTACTTGGCTATGAACACTTATGTGGGGATTGGATCTGCAGTCAATTAACAATGAGAACTAACCCTACCCCATCTCATCTTTGAAAACGATTCCATTCGCATTCGCCAACTAAATTAGACTATTGCCTACTTACCTTTCATTTTGACTTCAAATTTCTCATTCTTGCGCGTGTTCATGAACAGTCACACATGTACCCGATTTTGGAATACCACCACTTCTTAGATCACAAATTGAATCAGGAAATAGTTCTTTTTATTAACCATATCCAAAAAAATGTACAAACACACAATGGTTGGTCACAACTCAATTCAGTAACAACACGAGACCCATTACCAAAAACACTAAACTTCAAAAATTAGCATGATCATGCCATCAAAAACATGGGTTACTTGGAAGAATTATTGAGCATGCAAAACAGAAAAAGAGTGAGATCATGGAAGCTAATTAAGATGTGATTTTATTTATTTCTAGGCTACTCTATACAAAATAGTCCTAATAATAATCTCTGAACTACCGAAGCTGTAGCTACTCATAATGAAAACGGAAAACTATTACACTTGACTAGAGAAAAGTAAGATACACAACGTAACCAAAAGAAGCTAGGTAGATTTAGATATCCCTAAAGATGAAAGTGGCTACTTATATAGTAATTGGTTTTCTTTTCTTGCGTGTTCTCATGAATTGGCCTTTTCAACGTGGCGTATGAAGACGGTTTCCAAGTCTGGTGGCGTGAAAAACTGTCTCACAACACCACGACGATAGTTGCACTTGTACGAAGGTTTTCTCTTCCTAGGAGCAGGTGGACACGTGAAGGGTGTTGGGATCTTCGATTCCACACTTGTTGGTGTCGTCGAACACTCCTCTGTTGTTTCAACTTGAACCCCTTGTTCCTCCTTCTCCACAGGGATAGTGTATATTGGCTTCAATGGTGCACGCAAAGCGATTCCAGCGATCACCCATTTTCTATTGCTATCGGAATCAAACCCTCCCTCTACTTGTGCCTTCTCCGATAGCCCCATATCGATCCAAAAGCCGGAAACTTTGACCGCCTTGGTGTATAAGTATATGAATATGTAAAGAAGGGAATAAGTGAGGAGGGTTTCTTTTTATTCCTTGTTTGGTTTCTTTTTGGTTTGGTGGGAAAGTGTTGACCGATGAAAAGGTTAAGGTTAAATGGAAGTGGGAAATAATGAAGGGAAAGTGGTGAAGCTATTTTGGTTGGTTGAATGGAAGAGGGTGTGTGAGTGAGAGGGGACAGGGGAGAGGAAAAAGAGAAGAGATTGAGAGTTTTGATGAAGGGAGAGTGGGATAGATATTAAATGTTGTGGAGGGTGTGAGTGAGGATGGTGAATGTTGCGTGTTAGAAAAGAGTTTCGAAACCAATTGGTGAAGAGAGAACCCAAGGAAACTCGTGACATAAGCAGTAACCATTAAATAAACAAGGCCAATTAGAAAAGAGGGCGAGAGAAAGCTGGGGGATGCCCGTGAAAATTGCTGAACATTGGACAGGGTATCTAAATAAATATCCCATATTTCCTAATAAAATAATGCTTATTTTTCTTTGGTTTTTATTTTCTCACTTTTTAAAAAGTTTTACCATCTATGTGCAATTGATGGACAAGTTTCAAAATTATCAAGAGAGATCAATAGAAAAATACATGTCTAATTGCTTTGAGTTTAATGGATGATTGAGTACTTTTAACATCAAAATAAATTCATTTTATAATGATCAATTATTTTTAGTATAAACTTATGTGGTCTATAAATTAAAAACAAGATATTTAAAATGTCAACTTAACTTAATTTTAGGTATATCACATATTACAATAAATATATATATATATATATATATATATATTTATTAGAATACAATTAAAGTTTTATATTATAAGGACATGAACTTATAAAACATACATAGTATAAATTAGAAAAAAAAACCTTTTAAATAATGATTAAAAGTACAATGAAGAGAATTTAAAGTTAAAATATATGATATTTTAGCAATGTAGAACATGTGTATGTAAATTCTCAATAAATAACAATATACTTTCTTTGTTATTTATTATAAGTAAAAAAAATACACATTTTTTTTCTTAATATATTATTTTTGACTTATTCATAATATTAATATATTTTATATCTATTGTTTTCGTTGATTTTTAATTATATAATTAGTTAAATATCAAATTACCTAACTTATCAAAAGAAATTGTGCATTGCACGGATATCAAATCTAGTATAAACAAATGTTACTCTTTCGAAAAAAATATAAAGAAAAAAAATCAAATTTATTTATATTATAAAAACTATAAATATATTTAAATCTTTAAAAATAATAAAAGAAAATTATTAAAAAATATTCATCTCACCAAATAAATTAAAAAAAATTATCCAAACATAACCATAATAATTATTAATTAGTTCAACAAAATATTAAATTTTTTAAACATCACATACATCCATTAATAAATCAAAATAATAACATTAACAATAATAACTCTTGAACTCCAAATAAGCGTAAATATGTTAAAAAAAATACAAGAACAATAATTTTTAATATTAAAAAGGTCAACCCAACAAATTGACCCGTGTTCTCAACTTAATAAAAGAGATGAATCGGGTTAAACTTGAGTGGATCAAAAATATTCGGATAATCTGTCCCATTTTACAGATTAAACATGTCAATTTAATGAATTAATAAATTTTTGTCACTCGTATAGTTATTATTTGAAAGAAAAAAGTAATACATAAATTTTTAATTTGTTGGCAAGAATTTTATCACTTTAGTTTTTTTTTTTTTTTTTTGATAGTTCACTTTTTAAAATTTAGACATATTTTAAAAATATCGTGTAAAAAAATAACCCACGCAAATCATATGTATATTCAGTCAGACGTGCTTATATGGCAACACAAAACAAGTTTTAAATGCATACAAAGAGACTTAATTAAAATACACTTTAATTAAATACAAAGGAAATTTAAGTACAAAATACTCTTAACTTATAAAAGAGAGAGAGAGAGAATCATAGTTATCCAATAAAATAAAATAAAACAAATTGTAGACATAGTTTAGTTTAAGAGAGATATAGGGTTGGATTTGGGCGCGAAATTTAGTGAAAAGAAAGAAAGAGAATGGGTTGAAATTTTGGCGCCAATTATTTAGGGTTTCTATGGTTGATGAAGTTATTCTCCCTATGCTAAAAGCCATTTCATATGCAATACAAAGCACCTTTCTCTTTTCGCCTAACCTTTTTAAAGATGCCCCTCACACAGAATCAATATCTTTCTCTTTTTTTTTTCTTCCCATTTTTCTATTTCCTACTCACTTAATCATTCTATTTTCTGCATCTCCATCATCATTTGTCCCTTATCTCATCAAATTTTTATTTCCACCAAACCTTTCCATCTCTAAATTTAACGTAACATTGGTGGTGGCTCGAGGCCCACGTTTTGATTCGATATATAAATTTAAAAATGTTTTCTCCTTGTTCATGCTTATCTTTTTCTCCAAGTTTGACTTCCTAAAAATATTGATTCAATAAAACAAACAATAATATAGTTACTGTTTTAGCTATAGAATTTTGATTTTATTTTCAATGTTATCTTATTACTAGTAAAATGTTTTTCTTTTAGATAAATATGAGTAGTTGAGCACCAAACCAAAGACAAAATTAACAAGGAATATACAATAAAAGGAAACGCATAAAGATCCTAAAAAGAAGGTAACCATAGCTAGAAGTGATTGCATGCATATATAAAGATCCAAGCCTTTCAGAATGTGAGCATGAGAATCAATTCAATCCATCATCCTATTACTTTCATGTTAAGAATATGAGAAACTTAGACAAAAGAAGAGAACAATTTTTATTTGTAAAGTTAATTATCAAGAATATATAGCACCAAGAGAAATGGGATAAAGTGTGGTCCTTCAAAAATCAGCTGTAAAGTGTTGTCATTTTGGACGTTCAAAAAATGTTAACATATTATGTATGTCTTTAATAATGCAAAATATCATCTATTCTATGAATTCATTAGTAATAGTTGTACAATATTAATAATTTCTTTTTATTTATTGAAATTAAATAAACGATGCCAAAATTTAAACCTAAATTTTTTTTGCATGCTACTCTAACATATATTCATAACTAAATCCACCTTAATAGTTTTATAACAATGTCAACAATTTTAACAATTAAATTCATCCTTCTCAAAGTAGTTAAATTATTCAAACAGTGACTTTAAAAGGGTTAATGTTTATTTTTATCCTTATTTATTTTTAATATAATAGTTATAACAAGTAATTCATCTTTAACTGCATGTTAGACTAAAGATAAATGAAGGATAAAAATGGACAATAATTTTTTAAGTTACTCAAATCCCTTCCCATCTATAATAATATAAAAAGAAATGTCTAATTGTTGGCATGTGTTGATGTCTGGTGCATTGTACGTCTACTTTTTTTAATTTATTTTTTATTTTCTCTTTTCACCTAGTCTCTTTTAATTTTCTTTCTCTCTCTCTTTTTTTTCATTTCTCTATCTTATTGTGCAAAGCGTGAGTCTCTTTGTAGGGTCTTTTTCTATATATATAATCATATATCATTAATTAATTAAAAAAAATATTGACTTGTAATATAAATTTTTATATTGTTATCTAAATATGAATTAATATATAATTAAAAAATATTGATCTTATAAAATTAATTTAGAATTCACTTCTAAAATAATTTTTGTTTGATTGAAAATGTAAATATTTTTTTACATTGTATCAAAATTCAACACACACTATTTATATATAAACTAAAAATGATGTTGTTTAATGGTTTGTTAAAGAAAAAGATTGAAGCAGGATCATTGTCTTGTATAATATACCAAGTCAAACAACACTCAATTTTCTGAAAGGCGAGTTTTTTACTCAATTTTAATCTACTATATATATTGTTTGAAACATAATTATGAAAATTTGGTTCTTGTCTATGTCGCTTCTAACGATAAGGGCATTATTTTCTGACACAAATTTCAAGGAACAAATCATTCATGTATGTTCCAAACAAAATATCAGTGGAAAAAAACATCACATTAACTTATAACAATAGCAAATGGATGGCATGAACCCTAACCTTTAAATGGGGATGAAAATTGTCAAATAATGCAAAACAGCACTATAGTTTTAAAATTTATTTGCCATTCAAAATAGTGCATATACGTATAATTGCTAGGTCAATGGACAAGTACGTGATATTTTCCTATGGAAGATAACAATACTAACGAAAAACGACTTTCTTTAAGGTATTACAAAAAGGATAAGATGGTACCGATTTAAAAGTTTTACTCAAGTTATAAAAAAGTTACTCAGTAGAAATTTAGATAAGATAATACCTACAAATGAAATCCACTGTAAGTTTTTTCACTGTGCTGTTCTATCACTTTATTTTTATTTTTAGATTCATATAAATAAAAAATTATTAACAAAAGAGTACTGTGATAAAAAATATATATGAATATGATTAGAGAAATAAAGGCATAAGACATAATAACTCCTCGAATATTGTACAAATTTAACTCACAATAGGTTGATTCTGCCGTTGCAAACAAACCCACTGAACTAGTATAGCCTAAATCTAATAGGTATAACAAAATTTACTCTAATTGATAAGGAATAAATTCATAACTCAAAAGAATGCTATGTTTGATTCATTATAATTACATCTATAAGTGTTTATAAAGTGTTGAAGTCTATTTTAACTCTTACTCTTGTGCAACTCACATAAACTTTTGTAAAAAATAAAATAAAATAAAGGCTAAATTTTCTAAGCTAAATGCAGTGTACACATGGTGTTTGACATTAGAGGAATGTGGTGTCAGTGTAGCAAGGGAAACCGCCAAAGCCAACATAACAAGTGGCTTCAAGTACAGTTCTGAACTTGCTAGCTTTCAACTGGGCTATGCTGACCCACCCAGACGATTTTCCTTGTCCTCATGTAACTAAAGTTAAGGCTGTTTTTAAATTCATTCCATCTAATCTAATATAAGTATCTTATCTTCCAATTTATTTTGTCTCTAGTTAAGGTCCACTAACTTTTCTCATTTTTTTATTAGTTTCATGTTAGTCTAATTAATGGTTTAATTACTCAGTTAATCTTTATAATTGTATGCATATCATTTTTTTTTATTCTTTACACTCAAAAACCATTCATTGTAATTCTTAATTATGCTAGCACTTTTAGTTTTGTTTTGAATTGGATGACACTAAAATAGATGGATGATGTTGATGTTGCATGTGTTCCTTTTTATATTTTAGTCTCAATATTTGTATTATTGTTAAATTTTAGTTTTAATGTTAACATAAGTTTTAGATATTAATCTTTACATATGCATAATCTTTATATTTAATTTCCTAAAATTAAAAACTACTTGTAATCTCCTCTTTCTTTTTTCTCCTCCCTTGACTTCTTTTCCTTTTCCATTTAATTCTTCTTCTTTTTTTCCTTATAAGCATTTCCTCTTTTTTTTGTGATTTTATTTTTTAAAAAAAATCCTTACATTTCAAAAGTGAAGCAAACATATAGAAAAGGGGAGTGGGATTGAATGCATGTGATAGAGCTTTTGTAAATATTTTTGAAAGACACAAATATAATTAAGTTCTAAAACTATTTTGTCCAAAAGTCAAGTGCAAATGCAAAAATAAAAAGAACACTTGAATTATTGCATTGATTCACCTAATTTGAGTTACGTTTGGTTACCTTTGAAATCAAAGGATTTCGCTAACACTCAAAATTTATAAATATTCTTTCCATCACTTTTGACTTACAAACATAAATAATTGTTTACAATATTCTAAGTAAAGTATTTACAAGGATTATTCTTAAGGAGAGGATATTTCCTTCTAAGCATTTTTCCTTTTTTGGACACTACATTAAGTTTACTTTAATTGTGTCATTCTACGCATATACACAAAAGAGAAAATAAAACATACAAATAATTATAATTAACTCAATCTATCATAATACTTATCAATGTTATTTTTTAGTGTGTGTAAACTAGTTCTAAGGCATGAAAACGTTGAGATAATCATTGAACTTGCATAAACTAGCAAACAAAAACATTGATCTAGCTCATTGGAAACTAGACATAGATGCTAACTAAATGTGTGCAAGTTCATTTTTATTTGTTGATTTTACACATTTGATAAAAAACATCTTAGTTAATATAAAACCAAAGAGTCTCCATGGTCCTTCTCTTGGAAGTCAATGTCAACTTTATAGGATTTTTATACCTTGATTTTTCAAATTGTGAATAAATAATTCATCCCATAGTATCACACATTTTTGTTTTCAAGGTCAAGGACATTCTTATAAGGTCATATGTCCTGATATTTAAGATGATGAATAAAAGATCATCTCATAATGATAACAATACTTTTTTGCCCTTTATGGTAATTTTTATGAAGTTCATAATTTTTCACATGATGAATAAAAAAAATTCATCTCATGATAGCAACTAAGCTTTTTTGCATTCAGGGCCAATGTTATAAGGTTCACATACAACAAAATTTTCAGATGGTGAATAAAGAATCCATCTTAGTGGCTACCACAATTTTTTGTTTTCAAGGTCATAGACAATCTTATAGGATATATGTCATACTATTTCAAATGATGAATAGTGACTACGATACTTTTTCCTTTTCAAGGTCAAGGACATATATATGATGCATATGCCCTAATATTGAAGAAGAGGAGTAAAAAACTTCATCTCATGGTGACTACCACAATTTTTCGATTTTAGGATGAGGGACAATCTTATACAATTCATATGACCTAATATTTTCGATAATCTATCTATCTATCTATTTATATATATATATATATATAATATAATGACAATAGTTAATATATAATACTTTATTAGATTTTTTTTAAAAAAATTTAAGGATATTTTAAAATTGAAACACATGTATTTTAATCATTTAAAAGTTAAATATGAATAATTATATGAGTATGTAAATTAATTATGTTTTAATGATATTATAAATTTAATTATTGGTTATTTTAATGTCAGCATTTTTTCCCGCACGGTTTTTTCTAAATATTACTAACTCGTCGTCTATCAGAGCATGTATATTTTCTCACAGCAGGACTTTACGTGTAGCCATTGGATATGTTTATAAATTGTGTTTGTGTTGAATTATAGGAATCATACATACAAGGATAGAATAGAATTATAGAGACATGAAACTGAATGAATGATATTTATATGATGTAATGGTATATCTTGTTATTCTTTCAAACATATATATTTAGAATAATGTTACAAGCATTCATGTGATACCAGCTGTATTTTGAGTCTTTATTTTTCACTGTGCATGGCAGCACCCTTTGAGTTATTGATTTTGTCACTTGAGAGACGGAAGCTGATCCAATAGTGTAAGTACATACAACTTAGGACTTAGGACTTAGGAGTGTATTTACATCAGTTCTAGATTTATATTTTAAATTCACTATTTCTAATTTTTATCTTTTATCTTTAATAAATATTTTTCTTTTTCATATAATATTTATATATATATTTATATATATATATAATAATAATAATAATAATCTCTTAGTGACTTCTACACAATTCTGTTTTTAAGGTCAAGGACAATCTTATAGAGCTCATATTCCTTAATACTTCAGATAACGAATAAAAAATTCATCTCATAGTGACTAACACATTTTTTCGTTTTTAAGGTCAATAACAATCTTATAAGGTTGATATGCTCTAATATTTTAGATGAAAAAAAAATACATCTTATAATGACTACCACACTTTTTCATTTTTAAGGCTAGGGATAATCTTATAGATTTTATATTTACTTCAGGGGATGAATAAAAAAAAATCTCATAATGATTTTTGCATTATTTTTTGTTATCAAGATCAAATTAAAGTAATATTATACATAAAATAGAACAAATTACATTGATATTCTCTAAAATTTTCTAAAATTATATTCACATCCTTAATTTTTTAATCCTTATAATAACCTCTTTTATGAGGAATTGTAGGTGTAATATTATTAAAACTTAAGAGGTGTGTAATATAAAAAAGGATGTTAGTGTAATTCGAAAAATTATGAGTGTCAATGTAATTTGTTATAAAAAATATTGAACTTAACAATTTTAGTCATTTCATTAAAATAGATGTGTTAATTGTGTGAGTTTTGATTGCCTATTTTGCAAATACACTATTTTAGTCTCTTTATTGTGCAGATTATGTAATTTTAATCTCCTACTATGACATGACATGTTATCATTAATTTATTTTTTTAATTTCAAATTCTTTGACCAATTATCTTAAGCAACATCATAATAACTTGGAATACATCTAGTCAATGCTATATTCCTAAAGAGACTAAAATTAAAAGTGACCAACTTGCATCACATGATCAAACAGAATAAAAAGAATTTAAAACATGTTGACCAATAGAGCACATTATAGCAAAATGGAGAAATGATTAAATATATTTTTTCCCTATAACTTGTGTAATTTATGTAAGTCCCTAAACAATTTTTTTTATACAAATTTTAGTTCCTAAATAATTTTATAGCAAATTGGAGAAATGACTAAATATATTTTGTCCTTTAACTTGTAATTTTTTTTTTAGTTCCTAAACAATCATTTTACAAACTTTAGTCCCTCAACTTTTTTTTTTATTTTCACTTTTACTTTTTTAACTTTTTCTTCATTAACATTTTTAATCCTTGACATCAGGTGTTTTTGTTCATGGATAGAAATTTTAAGAACTAAAACCAAATACATTTTCTTCGGGAGCTAAAATTAAAAATTGAAAAAACTTCAAAGACTAAAATCATATTAAATCATTGAAGAGATTTACAAATGTTCAATTTCGAAAAAATCAATGCACAAAGTATTCCAATATTATGTCACCTTAATTACAAAAGCTGCTATTTCTAAGAATATCGGAGATTGTTATACAAACGTAATCAAATCCTTAACAATTTTAGTAGTTGAATTTTTCCTTCTATTTAACATTTATAGTCCCTCAATTTTTGTAGTTCATGGATGAAAATTTTAAGAACTAAAATCAAATAAATTTTGCAATAATCGGAAAAAATTCATGAAATAAAAACATTTAATCCTATATTCAACTTCCAAAAAGCAATGCACAAAATATTCTAATATTATGTCATTTTAATTACAAAAGCAGCTATCTGTGGTTTCTGAGCATATTGGAGATTGTTTACAAGCGTAATCAAATCCTCAAAACTGATGAGTAAAAAGAAAAAACTCTCAAGTCTCTCCAATATTTTCTTCCTTCATCCTTGGGATCAACAAGGGGGAGCCCATCTTAGGTTTTCTTTCCCCTTTAATCCCTCACATGTTCAAGTACACGAAGTATTTTGCAATGATAAAATAATTCAACCAATTTTGTGGGAGACCTTGATATAGTTTAGGAGTCGTTTCAGAGCATTACCACTGTCAATGGCCTCTCTGGCTCTATCAAGGGCTGCAGATATATCTTCTGCACCATCAACTCCAAGCAAGTGATCCACAACTCCGGCGTTCAAGACAATTCGGTCATATGCTGGTCCTTTTTCTCCACGAAGAGCAGCTAAACCCAATTCAATGTTCTTTGAGACCTGAAGTTTCAAAAGGGAAAAAAATTAATAATAATGCCAATTAAAATACTTCAGATCTCACCATGGTAAAACTGGCTACTTATTAGAGGCTTCCTACCTGTGATGATGATATTACATTACATAATGGTTTAATGAGACTTAACATTTCAATAGTCATACATCACCAAAACTGCATTCAAGCCTTTTATGTCAGGGTTTTACTAAGTTCGATTTCAGTCAATTCCTTACATTTTTTAACACTCCCTTGAATAATTTATTATTTACACATAATTTATGCTGAGGAAAGTATTCGCAAATGTTGCCTACGATGAATAATTGTGAAATGAAATCAACTGATCTACATACCAGAACAGGTAATACATGACCAAGAATTATTATAAAAAATAATAATAATAAAATTTTAAAAAAAAAAAAAAAAAAAAAGAGTGATGGATAACAAGTATCAGCAAGTGGCTTCTAAAATTTCAGAGAAATAGCATTATTGGATGGATGGATTGAAGATTTTTGCTTATGGAGGATATAACTAAAATAGTTAGATTGTTAGAATTTGTGTATCACAGGAGTAGATGGTAGATATTTAAAGTAGTGATCCGAACTTTTATTTTGAAACGGATACTTGGAATCTTCCCATCCTATAGGAATCAAAACAATCAGGTTTACATACATACACTGCTTAACGAAAAATCAACCCTTACAACAGCAACAAAAACTTCTGAACATATTAATAGGGACAGTGAATTACGAACATGTTGCAAATAAGTTCCAGATTCTGAATAGAATAAGATAAAAGGAGAACAAACACAAGAAATCTAGAGAACTTTACAGATCTATCAGTTCTTGGTGTGTCTGTGGGTTGGAAACCGTAATCCTTGGCATTGACCTCAAGACTAAAACCTTGACGTGTTACTCCTGCAATTTAAAATAAAAATATTTAATGAATATTAATCCAAGATATGACATAGTGCAGAATTATCAGTTTGCTGATCAGAAACAGGCGCAGTGTCAGTGTTGTCAATTTGCTTAGAAAAGGAAACAAAAGTAAAAACAATATTTTAATAGACTTGAACATTATGATGGAGTAATTATTTAAGTACATAAATAATAGATATAAGAAATAAGCAAGGGAACCAAATACATACCACCAAGTTCAGATGGGGACGAAATGTCAAGTGCACGAAACCCTGAACAGTAGTTCACAGGAAGTCCCCTAGTTGTGTTAGCTGATCGCAATCTTGTAGTCATTGAAAGGCCCCCTTCTTCTCCCTACAATTTGAGCATAATCAACATTAATTTAACCAATTTTAATGGGAGAAGAAAACAAAAGTTTATAATACAATCAAATCAATAATTTTTATGTGTAAAAAGAATAACAGTCAGAAAAAGTATGTAGACTGAGATGCATCAAAAGCGGAATTCCAACCTTCACTACCAAACCTGAATGCACTCCCCTTCTTTTCATAAGCATCAACAATGGCTCTTCATAACCTTCATGATAAAATCCAGCCACAATAGATTCCTTACCACTTGCCTGTTGAAAAATATATATTTTTTATCTATATAAAAAAAAATGGTGACTTCTCTGATAAAATAATGAGAAAAAGGAAATCATGCTTGTATCCCCATTGCTTAGGCCAGTTCAATTGGTCTACCTCAGGTTAATACCAAAAACACCTTCCTGCCAGTCTCTTCTATTCAGTTCAGTTCAAATTTACATTCAAAATACCAAGTTTCATATACTACAACAATAACAATAACAGTTGTCTTATCTCACCAAGTGAATTGGCTATATGAATCATATAATGCCATTGAACTTGGTTAAAATCCAAATTCTCAAGGATATTAATCACTATGGTATCCCTTTTAATAATCCGATGTCCTTGGTTTTCCTTATAAACCCTTTACACAGGGACAAAATTCCACATCATTCAAACAAAATTTTCTTTCCTCCTTTTATTTTCAGAATAGTTGCATCTCTTGGTTCCAACTTCCAATACTAACTAATAGGCTTTAGCCAAAACTGAAGAAACCAACATTTTATCTTTTTCATATCAGAGTACTATGTGTGACAGAAGAAAAATATGTAAGCCCGGAGCCTTTATTTCCTTTGAGCAACCACAAGTATTCATTTTTAATTTTATGCTTTTGACAAGAACTACTCTCCCTTTTGGTATTTTCAAAATTAATCAAGACTTAAGTTCATAAATTAACTTGTAAACAGACCTTAAGTTGAAATCTTACTCATTTAAGTAATTCTTCAATGTAAAATTACTCTTCTAAAAAAACTCAAATTGCACTAAAATTGCCATAAAGTTATTATGTTGATTGCTTTAGCAATTTCCACACAAAAATCTATTAATTTGTTAATATGGTATATATAATGTGCAACTAAATGGCCTAAGTTATTGTGGAAACATAGTGTGATAAAGAAATCATTTATACATATTTTTAACAGAACGATGATGATACATCTAAAGACTAAAACTAAAGATAGACTATTGGCTGTTGAATTTAAAATTTGTTAACAGAGAACCAAATCTTCAAGCCTTCTTTACAAATTCAAATAAAGACTTGTCATAAACTGAGAGATCAATAATATTGACAGATAATAACCAAGTCTGAATCCCACCTTTACATATTGCTGAACTTTTTCACTTGTAGCCAGCGGAGGGCGTTTCTTTATGTGCTCCCTTATTCTAATTAAAGAGTGGCTGCAGGGAAGAAAGGAAAAGAAAAACAGTTTAACCTATACCCCTTACCAATAGTCCTGTTATAAACATACATATCTATACCATACTAAATGTTGACCTCCCGAGTTCAGCATTAAATACACTTGGTCCCCTATTTTATTAGCAAACATTACTCTTTCATCCTTTATTGTCAATAGTGTTAGTCTACATTAGTATGACTTATTAGTATGACTTATAAAACGAAATCAGTCCCGTTCAATCTCACTACTATTCTCATTTTTCCCCTCAAACTCAAACTCTCTGTGTGTCTGAAATAAAAAAGAAGCTTGTGAGGTTAGGAAAAGTAAGAAAAGAGAGAGAGATGCAATGAGATCAAATGGAGTTGACTAATACAGGGACTATGATAAATATGGGTATATTGGTCATTTTATAACTCATACTAACAGAGTAATCCATTATGAGCATCCCATACTACTTGATGTGCAACTTAGGTACCCTATAATACCTCAGTCCCTATCATAAAACTGTTCCTAAGAGTCAAAGTCTCGGCAGTTGGCACTCTACAATACTTCACTTAGCATTTCTAGTTAGCCCACTGTAGGTAGCCATTTTCCGAGACATTGGGAACCAGCTCTAATATTCATAAGCACTTGGGGAACTCTCCCTTAAAAGCTAGATGTTAAGGGGTGAGAACCAAGCACTAAAATACACCATTGAGCATCCTATACTACTCAATGTGGGACTTAGGCACCCCCATAATATCCAAGTCCATATTATAGGGGTAATAATGCATTTAATTAGCAAAAATAATGGAAAATGATTTGTCTTTCTTTCCTCTTTTTTGTACACCCAAACACATTTTCACCCATACTTTTCTATCTCTTTTCCTCTCCATTTTTTTCTCCTCATCCAAACATTGGAATAGTCCACATAGTTTTACCACAAATTTAATTTAGTCCACATTGAATCAAAATTATTTTATAATGTCCCTCTAGTTTCCATAGAATGCAAAATAGTCCCTGCCATTTTCAAACTAGGTAATATGGTCCCTACTTGGTCCTTAATAGTTTCACTCCAAAGATGAAGTAAACTTAACTAACAGGAAACAAGATACAATATTCCGAAACTATATTGGAAATTTTTTCAATAATTTTGAGCCATGAACAGGGACTAACTGAGCAATTGAACTTATAATTTGGTATAATATTCCAGATGTCTTAAAGTAGCTAAACATCCTGGAAAAGGACTTCTTTGAAAAAGTTAATCTTTCAAAATTTTAGAATCCAAATAGAAAAGCATCAAAACATTTGCCAATGGAAGCCCCTCTATGTTACGATGTTAATAAGGCTGAGTCTAATAATGTTTGGCGAGATGCTCATACAGAGATGGGCGAGCTTCACGCTGACTTACATAAGCAAAACCAACTTCATCATCCTGGAAAGAAGAAAGAACACAGATATTATTATATATAGTGGCTAAAAAAGAGTGAGAAAACCATTATGGTGGTGCACTGGTGCTACAAAATATTTTCTGGAAACAAAAAGGACCTCAAGAAGTTTTTTGGCCTTGAAAGGGGATAAGTTTATATTTGCCCCCATAAACTTCAACATCTGCTCTTCAGTTACACCCCCCTAAAAATGAACAATAGCACACTCAAGAAATAGAACATGATTCTATATAAAATATGAAAGCAGATAAAATATCAAAGGATAGAAATTCAAAGAAAATTAACTTCGGAAATACACTACCAAGGGTAGAATTTCAAAAACATCATGATCATTAAGCATCTTAGTTTGCAGCTCAAACAACCAAAACACCCAACACTCAGAAAAAAAATCACACACCTTAGGTGCCATCCACTCTACACCATGAAGCAAGCAAGATTCTCCATAGCAAGATCTAACAGCAGCAACGAATAACGTACTCCTGAAGAAGCGTGTGTTACCATCATATGGTTCACCATAATGAGTCAATGATCTGACATCAGCAACAGGAGGGGGGCCTGGGAATCAACTCACAAAAATATTAACAAAGAGGTTCTAATTGTGACAATTAAAAAGAACAAAATGGAATGATCAAATTAAAATTCATACCAATTTCATCATCAAATGCAAGGCAGTATGCTTTTAATTCGCGGTCAGTTTCGCGGTTCATGCGTTGACCTATTAAAAATGCAGAAAGCAAAGCCTCACTTACTCCCTGAGGCTTTTCATCTCCCTCCTGTAGGGGAAGGACATCCTTTAACACACCTTGCACTTCCTCAAATCCAAGATGGCCACCAGCCAACACCTCCCTAAGAGCGCCAACCAAACGCATCTCACTGGTGCCATTGCCAACATATTGCGGCCCAATTGAACTTCCCACACCCATCATCAGCCCTTCTGGGTCTGCAATGAAGATCACATCAGGCGGAAGCACCCTAACCAAAAGCGGCCAGAATATCTTCATTGCACGTGTTTCCCCTTCACTCCATTGTGTTGCCTCAGGAAATGCATTTGCACGGATTGTCATCCCCGCAAAAAACGCCCCAAGTTGTGCTTTAGAAACTTGTTCCTCATCTTTCATTTCTCCCCTAGCTAAGATTAAATACAAAGTAATCAGATCTCAAAACAATTTCTGTCATTTCATTTCAAAAACTCTCTTAAAAAGTTTGTAAAGAAAACAAAATATTTCATCAAAATAATCTGTAACACATGATTTAAGGCTTCTATTCTTAAGCCCTTCACTCGTTCTAATAAAAACAAGTAAGAGTTCAAACTTGATTATGGTTACAAACACTGTGCAAGGATACTTCAAAATTAGTGACATATACTTCCTCCGGTCCTTTTTATAACACCCAATTCACTATGATTATGGAAGTTGGTTAATTTAGTTGATAGCCTTAAATTTTTCCAAAACTATCCCTTACAATGATGAGACTCTTACTCTACCACCTACTTATTGAATTGACAAAAATGACTTTAATTAAAGATATTTCTTCTAAAAAAAAATATAATTAATACAAGAGACATTTTAAATTTATTCTTATAAAAAGGACCAAGCAACACTTCTAATTTGGGTTTTATAAAAAAAGGACCAAGTACCAAATGCTGATATGTGCGTTATTTAGCTTCGCTTACATATCAAAAGTAAAACTTAGATGCTTTATATCTAATCCCTTAGATATATTTCTCTTACATATAGACAGTGTTACTATCATAACTTGAATTATATCACTTTAACCAAGAAATATGGCATCTATGATCCATGTAGCCAACTTCACCCACTGGAATAAGGCTTCTTTGCTGCTGTTGTTGTTTTTAATTTAAATTTGGCTATGATAATGTTTTTTAAAAATTCTCTTGCAAGAATTAAATACTAGTAATCACATAATAACGATGACAAAACAATATAAATATAAATCATATTCAGGAAAATATATTAATAAAATGTAAGAAATATACGAATATAGCTATATTTATTTAGTATATGGTGTATTCTAATTTTATTAAAATTTATCGTAGTGAGTAATGGTAGTGTTCCTGCTTGCATGCAACATCGTACTAGTGCACTAGACTAATAACAGAGTTAGCTGAGACACAGTTTGAAGGACAAAGTGCAACTGTAATCATGGATGAAAAAGTTACCAAACATTTGTGACCGTGACAAAAAAAAAAAAAAAATAGTAGAGCATGTTGTTAAAATCTGAGCCGTTGATTTTCTAATCAAACAGTTAGGACTAGACTTAAAGTCAAAGCAGCAACAATAAAGAGGGACCTGATCTGAGGATGGTGTCGAAGACCTTGAAGGCTTGGTGTTCGTCGAGGGGGCGAGTCTGGGTTGGGCCGGTGCAAACCCTAGCTTGGGCCTCCAGCACCGTCTGGTTGGGCCTGGGCAATGCCGGGCCGCGATAGGAGGAAGACAGCGAGGGGTTCCGGACGTGGAACTCGGGAAGCCCGAATTGCTCGATGGCGGCCCAGGCCAGCGCGGCCCTCGGCGGCGGCGAGGAAGAGAGGCTGGGGCGGATCCAGCGGCGGCGAGTGAGCTTGGGGAATGGGAGGCGCGTGGAGTGTGGAGCGTTGGTGGTTGGGAAAATGGAGTTGGGTGGGGAGAGAAAGGGTTCGGGATTGATGAGAAGTTTCATGGTGTTCGAGTATTGGTTCCTTGGGTACTCCGCGAAAGAGAAGACACAAAGGTAAAACCTCTGAACTGATCTCAGAATGCAATTTTTTTTTTTTTTTAATTTTGGAAGAAATGGAGAATCAAGCCCTAACTATTTAGCTAAAATTATAGGAAAATAGAATTGAAGTCAGAGGTTGTCTTGATCTTATCTTGTTACAAGGTTTAGTTAATTACTCGTTTAACTCGTATAAGTAAACAAATATTTTTTTTTTAACTTTTTATAGTTTATAATAAATAAATAATTAATGGTATAATTAGTGTTGTGAAGATTAGTTGGTCGACCAATTCGACTGAAAATTGTTGACCAAATTAGAACGGTTTTAATTATCAGGCTGGTTAAATAATTGAGCTGAATTAAATTGGCTGATTTAAGAATAAAAAAGAAAAATAAAAAGAAAAAAGTGAACTCGTCTGGGTTACAAAATTATTTTTTAAAAAATATTTTTCAAAGGAAAATTATAAAAGAATAAAAATAAAAATGGCATCGTTTGTTCTTTATAAACGTTGTGTTTTGAAGTGTTAATAAATTACACATAAATATCGGATGTTAATACTACTTTATTTTTATTTTTGAACTAATTTATGGAATTGTGTCATTCATTTTAATTTAACTATTTATGAACAATATTTATAAACTTTGTTATAATGAAACTTACCTTAATTGTTATTTTAGATATCGAATATTTTATAATGAAAATGTTTTTAAATTTCATCATCAAAATTGTATTGACGGAAACAAGGTTCAAATCGAGGACTATGAATTATAATATTTTGAATTTGAAGTATAAAATTATGTTACTGTAAACGTGTAGTTTTTAAATTTAAAGATAGACATGTAATATTTGTCATTGAGTATGACAATAATTATATTTTTAACAGATGAAATATCTTAAATTATACTAATTATATTATTTTTTAATTTTTTAATATAAATTGATTCAATAAGTAATAATTTAAGCAACTTGACTTTTGTGAGTATATTCTTTTAAAAACATATTTCATCTTGCATTGATCTTAGATCTATCATCATTTGAAAAAGTGAATGAGACAAACTAAGTCATTATATCATATGCAATAACACATGTATTCTATGAGACCTACTCTTCACATTTGAGAACTGAATCAGAGCATGTAAATTCTATGTGAAATGGCCTTCATATTTCAGAACTAAAATAAAACATATAAGATAGATGACAGACCGTGCTTGTTTTTATCTCATCAAGCATATCATAACATAATATATTGAAGTGTTAGAGCATATCAAACTATACAAAAAGAGAGCATGCTTGTTTTATCTCTATAATATTAAGCATATCAAGATATATTACAATGTATCAGAGCATATGTTATTATATTAGAGCATATTAAAACATATCAAAGCATGTATTTCTATTTTAGTAGCCAGAGCGTATATGATCAAATTATATGAATCTACTTTAGATGCTTTATGCAATGCATATGGGACTCATCTTAAAAACATGCATGAATTGATGAACATAGCTTGTATAATATAAAGCAAATATAATGTAAATTATTAAAAAAAATTGTTTTGAAGAAAATATAATCAATTAGAACAAAAATAACCGTTTGAAATTACAGAAAATAAAACTTCATAAATCATAGCAAAAACAACAAAAACTTTTAATCACTCTCAAAGCTAGTCCAAGGCATCCTCCTCGTCAAAGCTCGGGTCAATATTGAGGCGAGGCAATAACTTGTCAAACTTCATCTCAATATGTGCTTGCCTCCTGAGTGTGCAGTGTAGAACTCTATAAAGGCCAACGATCACTTTGTCGTGGTCCTCTTTAGTGACAAGTGGAAGGAGAGGTGAAGTGGATGGTGGTGAAGAAGCAGATGGGGCAAAGGATCCTTAGGGATTTGACAGCCTAAACATTTTTTTGTACAAAAGTATTATATTCCCAAGCAAAAATATATGAAAAGTAACGCGGTAAGGAAAATAGTATTTGTATATGCACTGTTTGATAGAAAGAGCATTGAGTAGCGTAGACTCAACCTTGGAAGGGAAAGGATAGACAACGAAGTATTGAACCACCCAAAGCCTCTTGCATTTCCTTTAGCCATAACTCTAGTGGTAAAACTTTTGGCCATATGATATAATTGTACTGTTTGAACTCTAATATTAATTTGATTTTATTTTTTTCTATGTTGCGAGCTGTTTTATTGCTTTAATATTTGCATAAGGAATTGATCAGTCTAAATGCAATCAAGTTAATTGATAGAAATGATCAATCCTTAACCAACCTTTATTGACTTTCTAGTCAAACCAGATTATTTAAGGCAACGCATTAGAACACTAGTGCAAAATCACAAAAAAATGATAAGAATGATCAATTAATGAAATTATAAAAAATAAATATCTTATACTATTAATAAAGATAATATCTCTTTTGATAATTTTTTTTTGTTCATTTTATGTTTAGACATTTTCATCTTTAAATTTCTGTTTTTATTTACTCGTCCTTTGCTATTAAAATTCACCCACTATTATTCTTTAATTATTTTTTTCCATCTCTTTCATAATTATTTATCTTTATTTTTATTTTATTTTTAAATAAATATATAGAAACACGAATTCAAAGATTATCTTTTTCATCATTAATATTAGTGGAATCGAGACATTTCATACTTCTACTAAAAATAAAAATGATATTAAAAAATAAAAATGCGTTAATTCAATTGGTGTTATAGCTCGTTCTTAAGTCTTGAAGTTTTAAATTCAAGTTATGAGTTTGTTAAAAATATTAATTTTTTTAATAATAAAGATATAATGATCTACTAAATGTGAAGATCAAGGTAGTTACTAAAAAAAATATTTCCTCATTATGTTAACATAAATTATGTATAAAAATGAAAATAAAATACTTTTAATTATAAAAATTAAAAATAAAATTTATAAGAACGAAATTGTATTTGAAATTGAAACTCTTCATCTTTAAAGACACTTTTTGATACAATGATACCAGCCCCAGCCCCCTGGGCAAAAGTTTGGTATTAACGCATCTTAGCACATATAAACCGGGCTGTCAAAATAGATTGGTTTGGCTTGTGTAGATTAACTTATCTCAACTCATTTTTTTTAGGTGGATTAATCATATTTAACTTATTAATTTAAGATTTATGATATATACATCTCTTTTATTTTATTTATATAAATACACTTCTTAATTTTTTAATTTTTATTTTTTTTTAATTTTATACCAGCGTTTAGTTTAATACTTTTTTTTTTCTATAATGCTTACCTTTCTTTCATCCTATTTATTTTAAAAGGTAGTTTTAATTATTTCAATTTTACATCACTCTCTTCTTCATTTCTCTTTCAATTTTCTCACTATTATTTTCTTCCTTTTCTCTTTTAGTTTTCACACGCACTCGAAACGTAAAACTAATTTTGGTTAGCATTATAGGCGCGTATGGTTTCCTCAGTGTCAAAAATGTCAACCAAATATGCATTTTTTTCCAAGTACTTTTTCATAGAAAACACAATATCAAATAATTTCAATGTTCTAGAAAGTATTTTTTGAAATAGTAAAATTAGGGTTTCTGAAAGCTTTTTGTCAAAATTGTGTTTCTAACATGTTTAGGGTTTAGGGTTCTAACATATACTTTTCAAAATAGTAAACTTCGTGTCAGTGTTTTTTGAAATTATGTAAAAAAACATACTTTTTTTTGCAAAGTACTTTTTCAACATTAATTTTACTATTCCAAAAAATATTTTTTGGAAAGTGTGTTATTTTACATAATTTTGAAAAAAAAAATTGGAACAGTAAATTTTGAAAAGTACTTTTTAGAAATGTGTTATTTTACATAATTTTAAAAAATTCTTTCTGTAACGTGGTTTAAAAAAAATGTGGCTGATTTAGTAGCCCGGAACGGGCCGTTCCCAATCTGGAACGGGCCCTTCCAAGCTATTAAATTAAACTGAAATTCGTGGTTGGGAACGGGCCGTTTCGGAGGGAGAACGGGCCGTTCCAAATTCTAGAACGGGCTGTTCTAGATGGAGGACGCGTCGTTCCGGAAGGAGAACGGGCCGTTCTGAATGAGTCCCGGAATGGGTCGTTCTGATTTTAGAACGGGCCGTTCTGGGCGTGGATTTTGTGCGTGATTTGGGAGTCTGGAACGGGACGTTCCGAACTCGGTACGGGCCGTTCTGGGCCAATCCGAAAGTCTATAAATAGGGGTTGGGGGCCTTCAGGAAATTGTGAGTTTTTAGAGAGAAGTTTTAAAGAGAAGGTCTCTAGGTCAGTGAGCTCCTTTCTCTCCCAAATTTCTCTGTTTGACTCCTTTTCTCCTTTAGATCACTAATCCCTTCTGACTTTTCTTGAAATTCAAATAAGAAAGCTTGTTTTGGGAGGATTGAAGTTCCGGGTTGAGCTTTGGAAGGGAATTCTATTCCGTCTTAGTTGTTGGCTATTTTGAGTCAATCTTCAGGTAAGGGAAGCTAGAATGTTTGTTATTTAAGTTGCATGTGAGTTTAGAAACTCAATTGATGCATGAAAGTTGAGGATCCATGGCTGGATCGGAGAATTCGCTAATTATTCGAGGTCTTGGGAAAAAAATGGGTTTCTGGTGAATTTGATGCATCAGATGGGTGCATGTTGATTTTGAGTTTGTTTTATGTTGTATGGAGCCTTTGTGTTTTTGGGTTTGCATATGGCTAGATTTGTTAGTTTGGATGAGAGTTTGAACTCTCTGACTGGGATTAGGCTAGGCGCAGGTTGAGCGCGCCAGGCGTGGGAGAGCTTAGGGCTCTTAGGTTAGATGTTGGGTCAGACGTGATTCGGTTGTGTCAAGCGTGGATACTCTTAGGAGTCTATGTTTTAAGGACACCGAGTGTGAGTTGAACGCATTGGGTGTGGATGAGTCTTAGGACTCTCAGGTTGGGAGCAGGCTGGGCGAGCTCAGGCTACGCCAGACGTGAATATATTTATGAATGAATTGATGCTTATGCATGTTTAAAGTTGAAGTTTTAGATCATGTATGTATGATATATGATGTATGGTGAGGTGTGATTCATATGTATGCTTTGTGATGATACGTATGAATGTTTGAATATGATATGACATACGTATATGTACATATGAGTATGACTGTTGATCATAATGGTGGGCAGACCATTATGATGTATGATGCATTATTGCATGTGATGCCTTATGACATGTGTATGATTGTTGATCATGATGGTGGGCAGACCATTATGATGTATGATGCATGATTGCATGTGATGCCTATGGCATGAGTCTAGCCTAGGACTTGAGGAGAGGAAAAATATTTTCGAACTGGAAGAGCTCACATAGAGTCTCTTGAGAGTGGTGCTTGGATAGGCCACTGATATATGAGAGTGGTGCTCTGGGAGGCCACTGGATTTGGGAGAGTGGTGCTCAGATAGGCCACTGGGTTGGGTGAGTCTCCTCTAAGTCCTTAGCTAGTGTTGGAGCGGGGTATGAGGTCGAGGGTTATTCCCTTAACCAAGTACTCGGGAAGGTGCGTGGATCCTTGCGGATAGTCGGTGGGCGAACTCCACAATTGACTTGGTTAATGCATGCCAAGGTCGTGGTAAGCCCGTACCCAGCTGTGCTATACCTGACGGTGGATCTGGACTTCCAATTGTGTAAGTGACATCATCCGAGTAAACCCGAGGGAGGATTATATATCCTGTTTAGCTGTGACCGAGCGGGCGCATTGGGCGTGAAAACGGTTGGGGTGGTTTCGGTAGGATGGAATGTCACTTATACAGCTCTATTGTTGTGGAGATCTCCTAGGTGTATGCGTGACGACGCATTAGATGATTGATATGCATTGATATCTGTCATGAGATGCATTTATTGCATGATTATTAATATGATGAAGTGTGGTGTTTGACTTCATGATTGGTGGATTGTACTTTATGCATGAGTAGTATTGGATAGAGTGTATAGTGTGACTCTATGAACGTGATTGTCAGTAGGATGATTGTGTAGTATAGATTATTGTTCTATATTTGTATGATTGATTTGTGAATTCTAGCTAATCCTTCTGTTTTCCATGTGGTGGAACTGCGATGATCATACTTGGTATGGGAGCAGGTCAGGGCTAGCTTGGAGTTGAGGTGTCTGCTGCGGGGAGCTTTGATTCTCGTGTTAGGGTTACCATTTTAGGTAACGATTTTGTCTGTGCTTGACTGACACTAGGAAATATTATTTTTGGGATGACTGTACATATATGGCGTTTTATTTTGTATTTAAGAAATTTAGTTATTTCATCTTTAGTTGTACATGTATGTATGAGTTATCCAACTTAATATTTCTGTTAGTTTTACTAGTTGTAATGCGATTCCACAAAGTGTAGGGACCATTGCGGGTCGTTACACTTTTATGGTATCAAAGCCGGTCGAGTCTTTTGGGATACTCTGTGGGGAGTGATCCTTCTAGGTTTCTGTTGTGTCATATCTCTGGTATGTGTTAGTTTTGGTGAGTTGTAGTCGTGAAGTGTTAGTAAAAGAATGTTTGAATTCTTTTATTATGGTGAGGCCTCAGTTTGATTAGATCACTAGGGTTGTGGAGATGATGGCCATGGTGATGCGGCAGCAAAGTGCTCACTTTGCTTAGATGGAGGCGGGTAGAGTTGCGGTTGAGGCAAGTAGACCGGTGGTCTCTCAAGATGAGAGAGATTTTGTAGAGTTCAGGAGATGTTAGTCTCCTCAGTTCAAGGGGGGATTCAGATCCCGATGTGACATATTTGTGGTTGTGTGAGATGAGAAGATTTTCAGTGTTTTGGGATTTTCTGAGGAGAGGAAGTCCGCCTATGCAGTATACATGCTGGCGGGCGAGATTGAGTACTGGTGGAGAGGCACCAGGCAGATGCTAGAGAGCAGGGGTGTACTTATTGATTGGGATTGATTCAAGAGAGTTTTATTGGAGAAGTATTTCTCGAACAGCGTTAGATATGCTAAGGAGGCTAAGTTCATGAGACTACAGCAGGGGAGCATGTCTATTCCAGATTATGCTACGAGGTTTGAGCATCTGGCTCGTTTCTACTCTAAAGCCGTATCTGAAGCTTGGAGATGTAGGAAGTTGCGGGGGGGTTGAGGCATGAGTTGAAGAGGGTCATAGTCCCTATGTCTATAATGGAGTTTCCTGCCTTGGTGGAGAAGGTAAAGACTGCTGCGAGATTGGTGGGTGGTAGCAGCGGCAAGGCTGCTAGAGTTTAGGAGGGATCATCTGGATCTAGGAGGGGAGGTCAGCAGAGAGGACCCTATGACAAGCCTGTTTAGTCTCAGAGAGAAGCTGTTAGTAGGGGACCTCGTCCTGCTACTCCTTAGGGTGGAGCACAGTCGGTGCAATGTTACAGATGTGGAGAAGCCCACATGGTTAGAGATTGTCCCCATCCGGGGAACGTTTGCTTCAGATGTGGTAGGCCACATCTCTAGAGATTGTCAGACACCGCCGACTTTATCTGGGAGTGTCCAGGGGCCACCTAGGCCTACAGCTGTGGGGAGAGTGTTTGCATTGTCAAGTGTAGAGACTTCCACTTCATCAGATTTGGTGAAAAGGAAGGGGAAAGCAGCTCGTGAGGATGTTTTGTTTCTATTTGATTCTGGTACCACACATTCATTTATTTTTCTGTTGAATTGTGTGGGGAGATTGGGTGTCTGCATGGCACGTTGATCTGTATGTATCTACTCTGACTTCAATTTCTTTAGTGACATTGGAGATATATGTGAGATGCCCGATAGAAGTGTTTGGTAGGAGGTTCTGAGTGAACCTGATTGTGTTGCTCATGGTAGATATTGACATAATCTTAGAGATGGATTGGTTATCTGCCCATAACATCCTTATAGATTGTGCTCGGAGAGAGTTGGTGTTTCCTCAGTTGGAGGATGAGGTGTTAATATCAGCGGGTCAGGCTGAGCAGTTAATGAGGGATGGAGCTGAGTGCTTCATGTTGTTTGCAGCTTTGAGTATTGAGACAGAGAGAGCTATCGTTGGGATCGAGATTGTCAGTGAATTTCCTGAGGTGTTTCCAGATAATGTGCCAGGATTGCCACCCAGGCGTATGTTGAGTTTAGCATTGATCTGGTACCAGGTGCAGGACCGGTATCAGTGGCTCCTTATAGGATGGCTCCAGCTGAGTTGGTAGAGCTGAAGAAACAGATTGAGAATTTGTTGGAAAAATAGATGAAGAGGTCTTGTGTTTCTCCTTGGGGTGCCTCGGTATTGTTAGTGAAGAAGAAGGATGGTGGAGCCCATTTGTGTGTTGATTATCGGAAATTAAATACGTTGAAAATACGAAATAATTATCCATTTTCGAGGATTGATGATTTGATGGATCAGTTGAGGGGAGCTTCGGTGTTTTCAATGATTGATTTGAGATTTGGATACCATCAAATTAGGGTAAAGGAAAGTGACATACCGAAGATTACTTTTAGGACTAGGTATGGTCGCTGTGAGTACGTAGTGATGTGTTTCGGTGTCACTAATGCTCCAATAGTGTTCATGGACTACATGAACAGGATTTTCAGGTCATTCTTGGACAGGTTTGTGGTGGTCTTCATTGATGATATATTGGTGTATTCTAGATCTTTGGAGGATCACCGTGAGCATCTGAGGTTGGTTTTAGCGGTGCTAAGAGAGAGGTAGTTGTATGCCAAGCTGTCCAAGTGTGAGTTTTGATTGTTTGAGGTGAGATTTGGGGCGTGTGATATCGGTAGAGGGGATTGTAGTGGTTCTAGCCAAGGTGGAGGCTGTGATTCAGTGGGAGCGTCCGAGGACTGTTACGGAGATTAGGAGTTTTGTTGGGTTAACGGGTTACTATCAGAGATTTAAAGAAGGTTTCTCTTGAATAGTAATGCCTTTGACTTAACTGACTCGGAAGGATCAACTTTTTGTTTGGATGGACGCTTGTGAGCAGAGTTTTCAGGAATTGAAGGAGTGATTGACTACTTCTCCAGTTTTGGTGTGTTGATGCAGGAAGGGAGAGTAGTAACATATGCTTCGAGGCAACTTAAGACTCATGAGAGGAATTATCCTACTCATGATTTGGAGCTTGCAGCTATGGTGTTTGCCTTGAAGTCGTGGAGACACTATTTGTATGGTGCGAGATTCAGTGTATTTAGTGATCAGAAGGAGTTGAATATGAGGCAGAGAAGGTGGATGGAATTCTTAAAGGACTTTGATTTTAAGTTGATGTATCATCCTGGGAAGGCGAGTGTGGTAGCATATGTATTGAGTCCGAAATCCATTCATGTGTCGGTTATGATGATTAGGGAGTTGGAATTGATTGAATAGTTCAGAGATCTGAGACTAGAGGTGGAGGTTGTTCAAGATCACATTAGTTGTGGTATGATCACCATAACTAATAAGTTCTCGAGACAGGTGGGAACTAAGCAATTACAAGATCTAGAATTGTTGAGGATTTTGGGATTGCTTGGTATTAAGAGGGCAGCTGGTTTTGAGCTTAGTGCTTTGAGCTTAGTGCTGATGGAGATTCTCGAGTGAAAGTGTGATAGTGTCACTAAGGACTTTGTGGTTGAGTTGCCTAGGATAGCTAGGAACAGTGACTCTATCTGGGTGATTGTTGATAGATTGACAAAGTGTGCGCACTTTCTTCCTGTCAAGAGGTGGTCCTTGGAGAGACTTACACAATTGTATATTAGAGAGATAGTACGGTTGCATGGAGTGCCTTCCAGTATTATCTCTGACAGAGATCCAAGGTTTACTTCCAGGTTGGCAGACTCTGCATTAGGTTTTGGGGACAAGGTTGAGGTTGAGCTCCGCTTATCATCCATAGAAAGATGGTCAGTCAGAAAGGATAATTCAGTCACTAGAGGATCTCCTAATAGCTTGTGTGTTGGATCATCTGGGTAGCTGGGAGGAGTTGTTACCATTGGTAAAGTTCATTTATAATAACAGTTATCATTCGAGTATTGGCATGATGCCTTTTGAGGCTTTGTATGGTAGGAGGTGTAGGACTCCATTATGTTGGTATCAGGAGGGTGAGTCAGTAGTGGTTGGTCCAGAGTTAGTTCTTCAGACTACTGAGATGGTGAGATAGATTCAGGAAAGGTTGAGGGCTACCCAGAGTTGATGAAAGTCCTATGCTGATAGGAGGAGGAGACCTCTAGAATTTGAAGAGGGAGAGCATGTGTTTCACGTTTCACAGTTGAGGAA